ATAGTCTATACACTCGCTCATCCTATACTGATCTAACAACTCAGTAATTAGAGTGGGGGAGTGAGTATGGTTTTACGCCGCATTAAGCAATATTCCAGCGGCGGGGGACACCAGAAATGGGCTTAACACATTGTACCCATGTCGGGAATCGAACCCGGGTCTTCGGCGTGACGCGCGAACGCGTTAACCACTAGGCTACCCGACCGCCCCTCAGTAATTGTAATACATGTACATGGTCTTACGGTAGTCTCAGCGCTAAGATCTCTTTCTTTAAAGAATCCCTGTGAGCTAAACATTGTTGAAGTACGTCGATTATTAGCATTAACGCCGCACTCGGCACTATTCCAGTCATATGACGGTGACATGGAAATAAGCGAGTCTGGACAAGACAATCCAGTGATTGATATTATAAGCATCGATCCACGCCGTCGGCTCCGATTGCACGGAATCGATCAAGGCACCGATCCTGACCAACCGATCAATTAAGTCGCCTCTTCCGACCAGAATTGGTCAAACCCGGAATCCCCTGGGATTTCTGTTTCAAGCAAAACAAAACTGTTGATGTAACACACTCGAATAAACAAATAATTGGTTATAACTTAGTTGTCTTCACCTCTGAGGCTTACAGTGAAATCCCGTTTGTTCTCCACCCGTCTGTCAGGAAGCCTCGGTTTATGTTAAGAACTTTATATAAAGGACAATACTCCGAAACCACGATTCTTTTATCCAGACATGGGTTTCGCCGGGTTTTACTGTAGATTTATTGATGCCGAGGGAAAGGCTGTGTTATCGAGTTGCTATCAAACGGATAATAGTGCGTGATTGAGTTGGATAAAATGCATATTTTAACTGTATCCCATTTATATCGGCGAGGAAAGCCCGAAGTGCTGACAAATCGGGGCGAACCGGGATTCGAAATGATCATAGGTTTCTGGTGTGCCCAAGGGACGCAACTCTGCATAGCGAATACAGGTGCCTTTGGCGACTAGGACAAACGTGACCCAGGATTATAGTCACGTCTAACATGGCATACGGCGTGACTCATGCAACACACTCTCGTATAATCTGTCAAAAGGGTAACAACCTTTTATTTCTATTCTCAAGTAGTTAATGTCTGTATGACAAGTGTGAAGTACACGAAGATTAATGTCCCAGTGTGGCTATGTGACATTGCCGCCTGGACTACCGGCTGCGGTACCTTTTAAAGTGCCTGGTGACATTGGCAAGATTACCCTACGTTGTGCAACAAATGGACATTCTGAGATCAGATGTCTGATTTACAAAATCGGAATATATCGCTAAAAGAGTGACTGACTGGGTGCACATGTCAATATTAGTTCAATTATACCACGACATCTAAGCTTCAGCTATACCACGGCTTATCAGCTTCAGATATACCACGGCTTGTCAGCTTCAGATATACCACGGCTTGTCAGCTTCAGATATACCACGACTTATCAGCCTCAGATATACCACCGTGGCGGCTTATCAGCTTCAGATATACCACGACATGTCAGCTTCAGATATACAACGGCTTGTCAGCTTCAGTTATACCACGACTTGACAACTTCAATTTTATACAACGATTATACACGAGTCGTGTAGCTTTAATTGTACGACAGACTAAGATGTATGTGGAGTGATCCTGTAGGCCGCCACAATTAACCGGTGATGACACGAGTAGAGATTGCGTGGCAACATGGGTGACACGTCACTTGTGTCTTCTGTACAAACAGATATAATACATGAGCATTTCTTTTCACTCTTCTTTGTCATTTAATACACGAGAATCATGTCCTTACGGCGTTTAAATATTTTTTTTGATTTACCAAATATGTTGAATGTCGCATATGGAGTGAACCGGGTTTTGTTTTTCTAATTCTTTCGGGGGGGGGGGCTCCAGACAAGGACACGCGTGAGGGATAACAATATTTTCAAAACATTGTGGATAGAACGTATTCGATTTTGCACTTCAAAGTGAAAATAAACTCAGCATATTCTGTTTCACTGATAAAGTGTTTGAAAACGGTATTGTCTATTTTAGATTATCGATTAACTTTCTTTGGATACTGAAATTCTGCTTGCGCGTGAAACTGGTGGACGCTATCACGGGTTTCTTGGGGAACTTTATGACACGTACAATTCTCAGAAGTCATTCAATTAACGAAATGAGTTTTCAACATCGCCATGCAAAGACTCAATAATAACGCGAGAAATCCTAATACTGGCAGACTTGAACCTGGCGAATCACATGCTTAAAAAACGTGGCATTTCTACATTACCCAGAGCAAAATGTTTCATCTTTGGATACGATATCAGCAAGATGACACCACAAGAGATAATCCAACATCTGAGAGTCCCCGCATCACCACGGCATCCCAGGTTAGCACCATCCGGGTCCTTCAACTTGGAAACAGAAACCCTTTTCTTCATTTACGCTTGATGAACTCTGATTCGCTTTGTAATATTCCAAACATAGACTCCCACTTATCGATTTAACGCCTTGTAGAAATCACAGAATGAATCTGAAAACGATATATTCTTCTTTGGGGGGTGAGATATGTAACCAGACGTGTTGAAGTAAAGTCATCATGTCAGAACGGGCGACAATTGCATGAAGCGGCCTATAAATCTCTTGCCTTCACCACTGACAAACCTGCCTACCGAACAAAGCGAAATGTTTGAAGATCCGGACTTCACAAAATCTTGTAGGGATCCGAACCCTGAAGTCAGGATGATTGAAAACACATCTTCCAAGGCTCGAGAATATGAGTGTGCCTCTTTCGCGTACCTCCAGAGACCCGTGAAGATCCGGGATAGAATCGATCTTCAGCAACCCATGCTTGCCGTAACAGACGACTATGCTTGTCGTAAGAGGCGACTAACGGGATCGCTGACTTGGTTGATGCATGTCATCGATCCCAATTGTGGATCGATGCTCATGATATTAATCACTGGAATGTCTGGTCCAGACTCGATTATTTACAGACCGCCGTCATATAGCTGGAATATTGCTGAGTGTGGCGTTAAACAGCAAACCAACCAACCAAGCGTACCTTCAGTTAGATAGGGTGTATATATTTTTATTTGCTGACCAATAACCTGTTCCTGTGTGTAGATTTTATCGTAATTATAACTTTGGTCCAGAGGCTAAAATTTTGTAGCATACCCACTTGGTGATGCAAGTAACTATACTGTAATAAAGCGCACACTGTAACTCAAAAGATAAGGGGTATTAAGTTTAGTTGTGAGTGTATTTGTTATTTTAACCACGAACCATACTTCTCTATCAGAGTTACCTCCCTAATGGTAAAATGTTTACTCCTATAGCCTGACACGTCAATTATTCACACTGTCCAAAAGTGCTAATATCTCGCAAAACGGAAACTGGGTCAACGTTTCCCGCATATTGATTATGCTGTAGGCCTATTCCCGACCCTCTCGACGGGCATAACTCGCTAAACGAAAATGGGTCAACGCTTCCTGCATACCGAAATGCTGTATGGGGAATAGGGTCGGATAGAGCTAGACTGGAACCATGCCCTCTGCCTCCTAGCGTCTAAGGCGAAGAAGCGCAAACGCTCTTGGGCAGGTAAATTAGTCCAGGACAAAGTGGGTTTCCCTTTTATGATTGCTGCCGAATAACATGTTAAGTGTAACAATTTATATCGTAGTTAGTACAAGTCCAACTTTATCACGGCGACCTGTACATGATCGCGCCTAGACCAGTGGTTGATAGAGTGAGCACCTATCAGCGCCGTCGGGCGTTATGACACACCTGGACATTACCTGACGCTCACAGATCGACAAGCGTGGGGTACTGGCGACCTATTAAGCCCCGTATCCTCACAGCGGTAGTTGGTTATGTACATTAGGCGCGGAAGGACCTTTTATTTTTAAAAAAAGGATTGTACTTAATACCGGCATGTCAATGAAGAAAGGAGGTGGTGCAGTTACTGGAGATTCATTCAAGTCGCTATAAACTATAGTCGCTATAGTTTTGCACCGTTTTTAGCATTATTATTCCCGAAAAATAACGGTTGATTCCAAGAACACGGTACACAAAGTGTACACACACGAACACCACAACTTAGGCGTGCCGAGCGAACGCTTTATCGACTTTATCAATAATATAGATGTTTGAGATAGTTAAAATTTCATGCGAGGCCTTACATTTCACCCATCACCCTCAACCTTGTTGTCCTGCCTTCCTGGGGATAAGACAAAGACTCGCCCGCTCGGAATCAGTACAATGTGTCTGAGGGATAGCCATGTTAAACTGCGGTATGGTATCGCAGTGGGCTAGCACTATACAACTGCATGCATAAATCGGAACGCGTGCATGCATGAGGAGACACGGGTGACCTAGTCATCTGTTTTGTTTGTTTTGTTGGTTTGTTGTTTAACGCCGCACTCAGCAATATTCCAGCTGAATTATAATCGAGTCTGGACCAGACAATCCAGTGATTGACATCATGAGCATCGTTCCACGCTATCTGAGGCGCCGCAATTCGCGTCACAATGGCACGCCAGACACCTATGATCGTGAGTTCGAATCCCGGTTCGCCCCGATTATGTTTCTAGGTCTGTCAGCACCACACCCGTGCTCGTGAGTTTCACCAAAGTGGTAAACGTTTCAGACCTGCATCACTTCGGGCTCTCCGCCCACATTAATCTAACACGCCGTGATATAAAAAAGTGGCATTACCCAGCTCACTCACTCACTCACTGTACCCCATTTCACCTCACCTCCCCTTGATAATCATGAAGGATACAGTGTTTGTTTGGTTGTTTATTTATTGTTTAACGCAGCACTCAGCAATATTCCAGCTATATGACGGCGGTCTGTAAATAATCGAGTCTGGACTAGACAATCCAGTGACTGGCATCATGAGCATCGATCCACGCTATTGGAATACCATGACATGCATCAACAATGTCAGCGAACCTGACCACCCGATCCCGTTAATCGCCTCTTACGACAGGCAGCGTCTTTTACAGCCAGCATGGGTTGCTGAAGACCTATTCTACCCCGGATCGTCACGGGGGAGGGTACAGTGTAAAAACAACATGAACTATCTAAGTAACTGATTGAAACATATTCATGGTAAATAGCAAGTGAGTTACATACATGCATTAAATGATTTCATCGTCTTTACATAACACAATTCTTATACTATATACTGTGTTTTCAATCTTTCAAATAAAGGTTTCACTTTAGGCTCATCAACCGCTCGTACGTGAATCATGTCTCCACTTCCGTCTTCCGGTGGCCTATCATCAATATCAGGGTCAAGGTCATTGTCAAACTCCTCCTCCCGCAGACTATGGAGCCAATTGAACACCTTCAAGTTCCGATGTGTCCTGTCCAGATTCTGGCCTCGGTTCCACATTGCGAGATCTTGCACCGAGATCTCGTGATACCGTGGCCTGCCCATGCGCACTTTAATATCCTGCTGAATGACATGGCTCAGCTGAGGCGAAATGCGAATCTTTTGCACAATTTTGGGTAGATAACTGTAATCCTCCTCAACAAGAGATGGGAACTCGGATAAAGGTCCTGTTGTAGTCCTGAGGCCATTGTCATCCCCATAGCCTGTAACCCGAGTCAGAGCACGGGTTGTGGTTGCAATCTTCATTTTCACCTTTGAGGTCATCTCTCTGTTCATATCAATCGCCAATATCTTAGTATCACCTGCCCACATCGTTGTCTTCAGTTCCGGTTCCCCCTGTGACGTCACGGGAACAACAGACTCCGATGGTGTTTTAAACACGTCGATGCTGGCTGTTGATGCGGTCGACAACCGCCTTGTACTGCTACGAGTGCTTCGACTCTTCCGACTAAGTAGGGATCCTTTGGAGCTCTGTCTGGCCAAGATCTTCTGATGGCGTGCCTGTTGGGCTAACTTCTGTTTTACCATCTGATGCTTCAACTCTTGGAAGTTTATAGGTTTGCCCCGGAACCTTGTTCTTCCTGCCGAAGCAAGAGGTCTCTCTGGTGCCTTGATATCGTTCCTGATGTCCGTCATGCTCCCGCTTTTCTTCAACCCTGGTGGGAGATGGAGACCGTTACTCTTTCCACAATGGAAAACCATCCTCTGTTCATCTGGTTCCAACATATCAAAAATGGTATCGTGTGCAGCTGGCATCCCCGTACCCACTGACTGAGCAACCTGTCTCTTCATCATCTTGTCTAAAGCGCCGACCTTCCTGCTCGCAAGTGCGATCCATTTACTCACCGTGGCAGGTTTCTCTGAGGTGGTTTCAGATTTGGGCTTTCTCTTCCTCCTGCGTCTCACCACTTGTTTTCGTTTTCCGTTTGAGGAACACGAGAGCAATGACAGCTGTGTCGTGATGGATTCCTCGCTGCCTGCTCTCTTTATCCGGGGTTCTCTTCCAAGTCGGGCGCTGTAAACAGGTTCCCGAACCGTCTGCTCTCGGGGTTCGATGCGGCAAACGGAATACTCCGGCATCCAATCTTGCAGGGCACGTGATATCCGCCCTTCATCTGTCTCAAAGTCACTGAAACTTGATCCGGATGCGAATAAATCTGAATCGCTGTCATAGTTGTGGATGAAGTAAACATCCGGTTCTTGTTGGTCCTGAATCAGTTCATCTCGACTGTCAACCAGTCTCACTGACTTAGTGGACACTGGTCGCACACTTGACTTGCTACATGTACTCATTTTCATCACACCTACCTCGTTAACACATCCAATCATTGATGTCCCTCGGTGTGTCAACGCCGAAGAGTACGGGTATATTGTATTCCACGCCGATGGATTCAGTGACAAAACGACAGGTCATCTTACGGTAACACAATCATCACATTTTCCTGGCAACACGTTACAAGTAGTCCATTTCACAATTCCCACAAATGTATCTTCATGAAAACAGTCGTAGGAAGGTCGTATACAGTTTATAATCACAGCTATGTTGGTGGGATCATGCCCTCTGTCAACGAGGCATAAGGCCTGACGCGGTAACTGAAAGAACTCACGCTTCTATTGACAGTGGGTTCATTAAAGCCACACAATCGTCCACCACATTCACACAACCTCTGTCAGTAGGTCCAAACGGTCACCTCTGTTTCCAGTCAAGTAAAGCCGTGGATCTTCTGTCGGCCTGTACAGGTTGTCGACATACTGCCATTGTAGCCTCGATATTGTTTCTATTTTGCTCGCTGCGTTTTGTCGCCAGGCTGGTGATCAATGGGCAGGGCTACCCCTTTCCTCTGAATGATTGCCACTGTTTGAACAGGTCCGTTCTACCGGATTAATAACTCTGATTCGATCTCACTGGTCAGTCACGTGTGTGACGTCACTTCTCCGCTCGCTAGGTTATTGTCGTCTGCTCGCACGCTCTGTCAAGTGGAAAAAAAGAAATGATTAAATGGAGATATTACCCAGCTGAGAGTCTGTCGTACAACTCTCCAACCTGGCGTGAAAGTCCCTTTCATCATGAAGTGATTTGTAAGAACAATCATTAGGTTCTTTGAACTTTCGGATAAATTGGCTTCCCAAGAAAGCTGACTATGTTCGTGTGCGGAGCGTGATTTAGGCCTTATCGAAACGTAAAGCGCCAAGTTTTCTAAAGAGTTGGTAAAAATGTACAGCAATCTAATCTTATTGCGACCTGTTATCGCCTAATGCCGTACACTATAGGACTAAGCTGGCTTGACATTTTAAGCACGCGGAGAAGTATATGTGGGCTAAATCCCCGCAAGTCTATTAAGGATTGTGTAAGCTAAAAAGGATCATACCGTATATAACTGTACATAACAAATCTGTCATACACGTTACATTGAATACAGCCAAGATGAGTTGCAATTGCCTGGCCAATGCATATGAGTAAGTGAGTGAGTGGGTGGGTAGGTGGGTTGGTGGGATTTGAGTGAGTGAGTGAGTGAGTGAGTGAGTGAGTGGGTGGGTGGGTGGGTGGGTGGGTGGGTGGATGGATGGGTTGAGTGAGTGAGTGAGTGAGTGAGTGTGTGAGTGAGTGAGTGAGTGAGTGAGTGAAACCCACTCATCATCCCTGACAGTAGTGAGTCAGTTTGGGTTTAACGCTTCTTTTAGAGGAATCCTAAATGTTACCTATTGAAATCCGCGAGCACAGTGCCGACAGACAAAGGGCCTTTATAGGGGCGGAGTTCAATCGGATCCTTGTGCGGCTCGACATCTTCGATTATCCATTGCATTACATGTCCATTTTAACACAATTAATACCCTGGGACCCGTTCCACAAAGCGATCTTAGCGCTACGACTGTCTTAAGTCAGTGTTAAAGAATGGGAGTTACGAGCGACTTAACGCTAAGATCGCTTTGTAGAACGGGGCCCTGGACCGATTCGCCACCATAACGTCGAAAGTAACAACCTCCCTCCTATCACTAACACAGAAGTCATAAAAAAAAGTTATTTAACCAGATGGGTCTTTTTTGTGTCATGTCATTCAAATCAGGCTCAAAATGAAGCTACTGTGGTGAACATTCCCAGATTATTTATCATAACTGAGATATAATATCCTGGATAATCGAGGGTTCGGCTATGGTGAGGTGGGGTGGGGTTTCACGTCGCGTCCAAGATTATTGCACTTATATAGCGACGTGCATGCACGTGTGTGTGTGTGTGTGGCTGCTTGTACTAGTCCGGACTGATGCCGATTTATAGTGCTAGCTCACTGAGATACCATACCGCAGTTTAACATGAATACCCCACTCAGACACAGTATACTGACTCCGAGCCGACCAGTCCTTGTTTTAGCCCCTTAATGCCGAGCGCCAGACAGGGTAACAACAAGTACCATCTGTTAACGTCTTTTGGTATGACGCGGCCGGGGATCAAACCCCGGACCTTCCGCTCTCCGGGCGGACGCTCGAACCACTAGACCACGGAGGCGGTCCTGGTTCGGCTATGGAGGCACATACCCAGATCACTGGGTGACAGTTACTTAGGGGGAAGAGTATACCCTGTGTGGTTCGTCGATGTGTTCTCACTTTAACTTAATGAGTGGGTGAGTTGGTTTAACGCCGCTGAGCAGTATTTTGTGTTATATTATGGCATGGCATGGAGGAATACCCATGATGCAAGTCCTATATAGCTTTTCTTAAAACCCACGATCACGGTATGGTGCTGACAAACCCAGAACATAATCGGGATGAACCGAGATTGGAACCACGTAACCAGGTTTCTGTGCGCCTAAGGGACGTAACTCTGCATCCGTGCCCCCTAATATTAACGTCTCGCGATATAATCGCAATATTGAAACGTAATGATAATGAAAAGTAAACGTGTATGGCAAGTCATGTTTTGATTACAGAATGAATTTAAAAAGTAAAAATGACTAAGGCTAAAACTCAAATAAATTAGTTCAAATGTTTGTATTCCTTACCATATTTGGTCACGACTAATATACATAACAAAGTTAACACAATACAGTCACATGCCTCACTGTAAATACATAATATATGGATTAGAAGGCTGTGCAAGAGCCCATTGTCATGGGAATGTGTGCAACTTGTCATGCACAATATTTCATAATTGATTAATCCTCTTACCTATGAACGTAGTACCTAACTGGGAAGATTGGGGCCTTAACGCTCGCAATGTTCCCGTGACGGTGTTTGTTACGTCAACAAATACCTGCCTTGTGATCGGTTCTATTTTGACACTTCAAGCTCTCATGTGACATTTAAGAGACATATTCCCCAGAATGATACGCCATATTGGAGACTTAAATACTCGTATAATGCAATGTGTCGTCTTTTAAATTATTCACCCCCTAAAAAGACATACACAGCTAAAACTATCGTTGATATGGTTGTAGAATTGACTAAAAACAAGCTTCAATGGCAGTTTTCTTCCACGCTATTCAATACATGTTGATTGTCGTTGCGTTGGTGGTGGTTGTGAGTATACATTCGTGAATATATTTTTCCGAAAAAAACTTTACAGGTAACTGAAAAAACATTTTATTAATTATAAGTCGTGATATATAAGTCTTAGTTATAATTTAAATATATACGTCTCCATATTTAATCCAAAATAAGCTTTATGTGGAATAAAAATTCAAATGACCTACCTTCCTAGAATGTCATACTGTCAACACCCAGGACAAGTAGCCTCTCAACATGCTCCCAGCACCAGTCAGTACACAGGTATATACGGGAATACCAGGTGTGCACAGGTAAGTATAAGTACAGGTAGACAGGCAAATGTACCTGTTGAGTAGATGGGAGCTCAACGCTTCTCCTCCAATGTCCACAAGCACTTAGTGCAGTCAAGAGACATGAGTGTGTATTAATATGTGATCTGTGTATTGTTGTGTTATCTATTGTCTGTTATACCCCCACCCTAACTGATCTAATCACAACCAGATATCGGGTGACGTCGGGGCTGAGGGGTGACAGGATCGGGAGAGGGGTTGGGGTGGGGATAGTGGAAGGTAGAAGGGTTATGCCGTCGTTCTGTTGCCTAACGTTGATTACTGTACGGTTCAATTCGTTTGTACTGATTTGTGACGTCAGTGACAGATCGTGCGGACTGAGGGAGCTGATGGATATCCATGCACGAAACAGTCAGCAGTGTTACTGCTAAAGCATGACCTGTGTATTGTAGTGAGTGAGTTGGGGTTAACGCCGCTTTGAACAGTAAACGCCGCTTTAAACAGTATTTCATGGTGTTTATTCAAGTAAAAAAGGCCACTGGCCCACAGGACATGCATTGTCAATATTAAAACAAAATAGATAGTTACAATATACACGAGAGGATTAAAACAATATATATACATAACAACAAGCAATTATTGATGAAGTGTAGGATACAGTTTAAAAGCGAAAAATATGTATTTACTTAAATTGAACAGTGTTCTGGGGCATTTGGAATTAATTAGCTTTACAAATGCAGTTACACCACGGCGTGTCAGGTTGATGTGGGATGAAAGCCCTGAAGAGACGCAAATCTCAGACTTTTCCCTCTCAGGAGGAACCTACATGCACGCTTGGGTGCTGACAAACCAAGAAACATAATCGGGCCGAATATGTTAGCCTGTATACTCCTATATTCGATTCCATTGAATAACAAGAGCAACTTTTCACAATCTACCAAATATTGACCTGCGGGCTACTTACGGCATATTTTGGGTTACAGTAAATTACTTTTATAACGAACACGCTTATAACGAACTGACGGATATAACGAACTTACTTTTTTGTCCCGACTATTTGCTGTAGTTATGTTGTATATATGCTTATAACGAACTACGGTTATAACGAACTAAAATTAGAGGTCCCTTTGAGTTCGTTATAACCGTAGTTTACTGTATATAATTGGGATGATCGATGTCTGCTATTTCACTCGTTCTTTCGGGAACCAAATTACCGCACATATTTCATATTATCAAATGTCAGTGGCTAATGGCTACATTGAAAATTATCAAGTTCACAGTGAGAATGTGACGCACGTGTGCTATACATGTTGTGACGCCATATTTCAATTTTCTTACTTGGTTCAGCATGGACGTCAGCGGCGTCGGTATACGACATTCGTGACATATACATGGCGTATTACGTCACTGACACATTCCATGGCCGGGAGCAGTTCTCTTTGATGTATGTAATCCTACACCGCCAGGTCACCAACAACAAACATCCGATCTGCGACCGGGGGATCTGTCAGTCTTGTCCATATACTCGTCAGTCAGGTAGAGAGACATGCGATCTGAATATCACCAGTATCTACAATAAAACACACGATTTATATATTCATTTACAACTGACGTTCGTGTGTATTGCATTCCACCACAGGCGGCGATAGCTCCCGGAGTGTGTACATGTTTCATATACTCATTGACAGAAATAAGGGAACGGTTATAAAGAGAAGGATGCGTCCATGCGAATATCCCAGGCAACAAAAAAGTGAACACACAAGACACTACCATTACACGGAATAATGCATTAATATGTACACAGAAATACACATCAATCCTAAGCATTTCTATGTGTCCCTTACTTTATACCATCAGTATATATGTGCATTTTCTCATCGTTTATTACTACTAATGTCATTTAGGCCGTCATTACTTATACTATCCGTTTTACCCAAATATTTTCAAACCTCAACAGCGCATTTACACCACTTCTATCTCAAATGTCCGTATTTTTTTTTCTTTTTAAATATAGCATAGAGGTTACACGTACATGGATTATAAGTTTGCTTTTAGTTCAGTTATTGTTTGATCAAAGTCTGGCGTTTGGTCCTAGGCATTCGTCCACAAACAAGTCATTATTGTTGTCTCGTGTCACTGAATAGAAGGTGGGGTAGCCAAGTGGTTAAAGTGTTAGCTCGTCACGCGGCAGACCGGGTTCAATTCCCGAATAGATACAGTGTGTCAGTCCCATTAGTTTATTAGGTTGCTATAGGATTGTTAAAAGTGATGTTAAAACCATGCTCAGTCAATGAAATCTTAGTTCAGTAACAGTTTGAGTTGAAATACCACCTGCACACCATAAAACGCTTCAGCATAAGTGTATAATGTCCTTGACTTTACGTGGCTCTTCAAATATTACTTCACAGGAAGCATATTGAAGGGTCTTAAGGGTCTTAACAGTACATAAACCAGTCACACACTGTCTTGTTAAACGGGTTACTTTATGGAGGAAGGGGGCACGCGTGGTCCAGTCAGCCAAAACGTCACAGTTCGTCGTACAGAGTTGTGTCCCTTATAGGCGTGCTTTCATCAAGCTCCTTTCCAGCGCGTGACACCTTCGTTACACTCTCGGTAGTATTGTGCTGGAATGCCCGCATTAATTCGGGACCATGAGTGGATGTTGTGAATAAAATCATGAAATTGTAAGTTTGTTTTTTTTAGTACCATACGCAATATGTATAAATAAATACCCAAGGGTGAAATGTCATCGCAGATTTTCAGTGATCTAGTCATCTAATTCTCAACATAATTTTGCCTTTTACGCCAAAATGAATCTGTTTCGGTTAATAATCGCAACAGGTTATTATCTGACGTTGACGTATCGCATCGTAAACGCTTCAGTTCAAACAGGTGTTGCAATAACCGAAACATACACTAGACAATGGAATTATATATATGTCTCTTACATATACCCTGAAGTACAAAACTCACCTACGTTTAACCGAATAGCACAAACGCCTGGAACGTGTTCTTCTACCAAACTCGTCAGGAACTGATTGCTAGCTGCGATAAAGCACTCTTCTAAATGAAACGGACTGCTCCGCATTGTCTGGGGCCTATCCTCGGGTGCCTGCTGGTAGGCCAGTAGATCATTGTATTCACGATGTTCAGCTGGGTGTTAACGACGCAACTGTTATAGACCGATAAGCTTGATTAGATTTCATTGTCCTGGGGTTAAATCTCAACTTATTGTTAAACAGTTGGTGTGGGGTGTCGTGTTCATACACGAGTATGTAAATAAGGACTTGGTTCAAAAGACACTGCCTAGGCCTGTATATGTTGTTATTCTTGGTGTTGACACGGAATACATTTTACGCTGTATGTGCTACGTGGAACATATGTTATAAAATACATAGTTGTGTATATTAAAGCGTACGTCTACTGTTGTTTATGATAGATGTTTCAATGTTCACAGTTTGTTTTAGAGGAAGAAGATTAAACATCATATTAAACATCTGGTATGTTTGTGTGTCCCTCATTTCATAAAACGAAGAATCTGCATTCATTCATTCATTCATTCATATTGTACATTTTTTCTGGATGATTTCTGCATTTGTGCACACTACTATCCACTACTACTACTATTTCTGCTACTACCACTACCACTACTATAACCACTACTACAACCACCACCACTACTTCTACTACCCCCACTACTATCACTATCACTATTACTACTTCTTCTTCACTACCACTGCATCTTCTTCTTCTTCTGCTACTACCACTACCACTACCACTACTATTACCACTACCACTACTATTACCACTACCACTACTACAACAACCACCACTACTTCTAATACCCCCACTACTATCACTATTACTATTACTACTTCTGCTACTACCACTGCATCTTCTTCTTCTGCTACTACCACTACTGCTATTATTATTTCTACCTCTACGACGTCTGCTACTACTACTGCTGCATGTGAGCATCCTGGCTTGCCCAAGGGTTTCACCAAAGTAACAAATGTTATATTTGGGATAACACTTTCTGAGTGTTGACAAACTGTTTAACTCAACGGCCTGCGTCGCGTTAAGGCTTTCTTCCCACGTTATGGTGGAACGCCGTCACGTGGCTAAAACACGATTCCAAACGGCATTTACCCAACTCACTCACTCAATACAGAGTGCAAACTAAATAGCTATAACATATCCGCAAGTTTGATCACTCCAGTTGTTGAGTGACATGGGGAACCTGTGAGGAAAGGGGTATTTACAGGCCGCTTCCTTCACTTACAATCGCAGTGGCTGCTCAAGGACGCTTTATGCAGTCGTGGTATTTTTTAATAGATTCCAAAAATTATGGAAGCGTTACCACGGTAACAATTGAAATGCTTTCTACTTAGTTTATATCAATACGTATCAGTATGAAAGATAAAGAGAATTACCAACTATCAATATTCAAATGGCAAAACATAATGGCGCGCAAACTTAATACATGTATGTCATAAATTATTGCATTTTGCAGACATGACATCATCTTTAGAAATGATCATGACCCTCAGGCCATGGCTAGTATTCACACGAGTGACAAATGTTCTTTTTAATAATGTCTAACCATGAGCGGTTAAGTCAATATCGATGCTATATAATTTGTATTTTCATCTCAAACCTCAACTGGAATATTGTAAATGATTCACCTATACCTTCTTAGTTTCACCGATATTTGCACAATCAATAAATACTGACAGCACATTAATAATAGGTTTTTATTCAAGCATTCCTGAACATACACATCTTCTGTTTATGTTTAATGATAACGCGTATAACATAGACAAGTGCAGGTATGTATGTGCCTACAGATGGTCCAAACAGATCCAAACATAATGAGGTGAGGTGAAATTGGGTTTAACGTCGCGTCCAAGATTATTGCACTTATATAGCGACGTGCATGCACGTGTGTGTGGCTGCTTGTACTTGTTCGGACTGATGCCGATTTATAGTGCTAGCCCACTGAGATACCATGCCGCAGTTTAACATGAATACCCCACTCAGAAACAGTATACTGACTCCGAGTCGACCAGTCCTTGTTTTAGCCCCTTAATGCCGAGCGCCAGACAGGGTAACAACAAGTACCATCTTTTAACGTATTTTGGTATGACGTGGCCTGGGATCGAACCCCGGACCTTCCGCTCTCTAGGCGGACGCTCTACCACTAGACCACGCAGGCGGTCCCAAACATAATGAATGTACATAGAAGAAGTTTATTGAAAAATAAGACTCGTCTTACAATTTACAGATATATGGCGGGGGAGTCAGCAGTAATTAAAAGTGTGTGTTGTTTAAATCCATACTCAGCAATATTACAGCTATATGACGGCGGTCTGTAAATATTGGAGTCAGGACAATTGGGTGATTGACATCATAAGCATCGATCTACGTAATTTGAATACGATGACATGCATCAACCAAGTCAGCGAGCCTGACCACCTGATCCCATTAGTCGCCTCTTACGACAAGCATGAATTGCTGAAGCCTATTCTCTCACCGGATCTTCATGGGTCCAATTCTTTATATACCGATACAAACTATGTCATTTTTGTTAATAATTGTAACAATTAAATAATTATATTTTTACAGAAACTTGAAACAAGATTTTGATGTAAATGCATTAACGTTTAAATAGATAGCAACAACTACTGAATTATGCCGGACTGTCAGTATTCATAAACCCATCTATTTGCTCAACGTCATTTAAGGCCAAATTATTCAACAGAATGTATCTTATCAAGTTCAAAAGGTTCATATTACCAACACTTTATAAAGAATTACCAAAATTCAAAAAGTTCCTATTACTTCCCAAAAATATATACTTACCGATTTAACATTTCACCCATAGAATCACCATTTGCCAATTGAAACTGACCGGTGACGATGGCTTCTGAGGGACACCGTGTTTGGACACTATACAATTCATCTGCTGTTGGAGACGAGTTATACTGTCTTTTTACTATGAAGCTGTTCCCCAACAAGGACTTCTTTATATCCCAAAGATTTGTTACATCTGGCCAAATATGTGTAAACTGCCTAAAACGTCATAACCTGAAAATATATCCACTTTAAAACATCTGTCCCGATTCATTGTACATTTGAACGCTTTATAAGGTTAAAATGTCTAAATCACTTTTTAAAGCATGTTACCATCTTGACCTTCATTGAGTACATATTACATGTTGTAAATATGTATACTCTTGTACCACCGTTGGAGATTTTTTTCAGAGAAATAAAATGAACGGAAAATGTGACTGGTTAGTTTTAAGGCGCTTATTTACATTGACATGATGTTGAATTGTTGACAGAAATACAACCTGTGAAGACCCTGGGTAGAATAGGTCTCCAGCAACCCATGCATGCCGTAAAAGGCGACTATGCTTTCGTAAGAGGCGACTAACGGGATCGGTGGTCAGGCTCGCTGACTTGGTTGATGCACGTCATCGTATCCCAACTGCGTGGGTCGATGCTCATGATGTCAATCCCTGGATTGTCTGGTCCAGACTCGATTATTTACAGATCCCCGTCATATAGCTGGAATATTGTTGAGTGCGGCGTTAAACAACAAACAAACGTAAAACATGAAAGAAATACAAAATAGACACATCTTTAAAACACACGAATTAAAGGTAAAAGACAATAAAGAATTGTACAAGTTGATTAAATAAAAAAATAAATAAATAAACAAATGTGATCTGAATTGTATTTTGCCCACAACAAGACGTCGTTAATCTTTGCCATGTTTAACTAACAAAAACAAATTTTCTTACACGTAAGCTACGTTTCGAAGTAACGCATTGGTCCCCTTTTGATACACGCGTTTTCTTTGTATTACAGCAAGCTATGAGATCAGAGAGATAAAGACTCATATTTAACCTATGTAAATTACTTACGAAAATATATACTCAGTGTAATGTGTGCGCACAAGTAGCATTGTTACGTGTTGTTACTGGCCGTGATCAGTACGCCGACCTCGGTTACCTCCCTTGCAGTCTGTTGTAATTAGCTCATTACAAGGCGTACGTTGTTCAGGTTTTAAAGCCTACTCCGATCTGCCACTCGACTCGATCCACAATCAAAGCGGTATGCTTGGGCATAAAAGATTTACATGAAAAAACAACCGAGACAATGGGGTTGGTAATTTGCCAAATTGCCACTCCGTGAACCTGTTCTCTCAACGCGATTCTCCCAGCATGTATAGGGCTTGTTGTTGTAAGCATATAGGTATATATGTTATTATGATCAGGGTGTGTTGAGTCAGTGCACCTGAGGTTACAAGACGTGATACCTGAGTCGAGACGCCGACATACCTGAGGTGAGGAACTACATTACTTACCTGTAATCAGCGATAACTGTGGAGAATATCCAGGTACACATTATGGACTGTGGATAAACAGCAAGGTGAGCCGCAGCCTTTTTGTGGTGGATATGTAAAATATAAAATTATGACAAGGGATATCATTAATAATATCTTATTATACAAACGTAATGTTTCAAGGATCATTTCGACCCTTCATCAGGCGAATTCGCTTGACGAAGGATGAAATAGTAGCCCTGAAACGATCCCTGAAACGAGCCCTGAAAGGACACTGAAAGTCAGTTGCTTGGCCACAAATGACTTCCTCATTGCACTGAAGAAGGGTCCACAAGTGACCCTGGGACGATGTGTATGTTTAATAGAGAAGTTGTTGTCCATTATATTCCTTGTCATACTCATATTATTACCAAATGCCCATACACACTAATTTAATTATTTTTTTATTTTTTTTGCATCTGACATTAAATGTTCATGAATTACAGGCGGGGCAGAATACGCTCACCTTTTCGCGAACACCTGGTATCATCACTATTTGATAGTGATTGATAAACACACGCTCATGATATAGTCGGAATCGTACAATCGACTCTGGAAAGTGTTTTGTCGCTTTATTTATATTCAATGAACTTCAGCTGTGAAAAATACATACGTTATGTCAGTAGAAACACAACCGACATGTTGTATACTGATATCGGACTGTATACGAATTCTTACATTATAAATGTACATAGTACCCAGCGGTAGTGTTGACACGCATTGTTTACGTAGGACAACAGGCTAGCGGGTATGACCTTGGTATATTCTAAAATAGCACAATCTAACTGATCATTACGCAGGATATTGATACAGATACTAACAGCCAAGTACTTGATGCATCAATACAGCCAGTTTTGTGGTCACGTACATTTCCATAGTATCTGTACCTGTACGCCTATTACTTTAATACATGCATGTGACATGCATAACAACTTTACCGCCTCCGTGGTGTAGTGGATAGATCGTCTGCCCGAACAGCGGAAGGTGGGTGGTTCGATCCCCGGTCGCATCACACCCAAAGTCGTTAAACGGTCGTACTTGACGTCACCCTGCCTGCTCGACATTAAGGGACTAAAACAAGGACTGGTTGGCTCGGAGTCAATATACTGGTGTTCATGTTAAACTGCGGCATGGTATCTCAGTGGTGTAGCCCAATAAAACTGGCATTTGTCCCAAAATGTATACACACATCACGCACACGGCACTTCATAAGTACAATAAGGTTGAACGCGACTTTAAACCCCATGTTATCTCTGCTCATTTATTAATTTGTAACCAATAACCAAGGTGATTTATGTGTTATGTCCCAGACGAACCATGAATACCAACAGACGTTCTGTACGTGACAGTCGTGTTTGCATACAGTGGAACCTCGTTAATACGGACCTCGTTAATCCGGAAACCCACATCCCGAATCTTCACTGGGACATCAACCGGTGCTCAGAATTTGTTAATCGGTAATTTGTTTAATCCTGGCGATTTCTCTGGAACGATATCGTCCGGTTTAAGGAGATTTTAATGAAGATATATTTCTCTTGGAGACAGGATCTGGTGTCAGGAGTATTCGGTTTAGAAGTATATGGTTTCAACATTAACACAACACTAGCATATTCAGGACCGAAGGCACATCGTGTATGTTAATAGTTTAATTACGAGTGGATAATCGATACACTACGCAGTGCATGATTACAGGCAGGTATACGTGTTATAGACATCTGTGAAATGACAAGTTTCAACCATGATATAGATAGTCGTCTCAGTGTAGGTCACACTGAAACATCAGAGCACAGGGCATGTAGCCCATTGCGTGAACAAGTTTGTGGGTAATTCAGAGTCTTAGATCGATTTAAAAAACAATCCAATCAAACAATCGAATCTACATCTATTCATAAAATAGGTATGAAAAAGGTACAAGTGTGCAATTACGCTATCACGATAAACTAAGTATGTTTTTTTATGTCAGCAATACCGACCATTTGACTCTACTTTCTCACGACTTCGCTTTATTTCTCATTCAAATCAGCATAACATTAAATTGATCAGACCAAGAATAGTCCCTCCGCGGAAAATTATCTCTGGACGCTCCGCGATAACGCCTGGAGTGAGACGTTCCGTGTGATTCGTTACAGTGTGACATTTTATTCGATATTTATTTTAGATATATTTCTATCTGTCGACAAGCAATTCAACTGTTTTGTTGGATAATTGAGAAAGATAATCGTTTATTTTGAGTCACGACATTCCAGTCTGAATATTGGCCCAAAACTCACTCTATGAGCCGACGTGATTTCAGGTGGCTGGCGTGTTGTCGGTGTAGTTGTGCAAGTTTCAGAGCATTGACGACTGTAACATACCATTCCCGCGGTATTTAGGTGATTTTCATTACATTTTTTTGTTTGGTTTGTTGTTTAACGCCGCACTCAGCAATATTCCAGCTATATGACGGCGGTCTGTAAATAATCGAGTCTGGACCAGACAATCCAGTGATTGACAACATGAGCATGCATCAACCATGTCACCGAGCCTGACCACCCGATCCCGTTAGTCGCCTTTTACGACAAGCATAGTCGCCTTTTATGGCAAGCATGGCTTGCTGAAGACCTATTCTAACCCGGATCTTCACGGGCAGATTTTCATTACAAGCCAAATTTTAAAGTACATATTTTAAAGTAAGTGCAATTAAATAATCTGCAGTTCGTATTTAACTTAAATGGTCAACTAGGACCAGGCCTTAGGGGAACAGAGCCGCGTGGAAATCCTGGAATTGTTTGCATTTTCAATATGGTTGACATATTGACCATGGCAAAACACCGCCTCCGTGCTCGAGTGGAAAGAGCGTCTACCCGGAGAGCGTTAAGTCGGTGGTTCGATCCCTGGCCGCGTCGTGCCAACTTTAAAAGATGGTACTTTATTGTTTCCCTGTCTGGTGCTCGGAATTAAGGGCATAAAGCAACGACTGGTCGGTTCGGGTGAGTGAGTGAGTTGGGTTTTACGCCGCTTTTAACAGTATTCCAGTTATATCGCGGCGTGTCAGCTTAATGTGGGAGGAAAGCCCGAAGTGATGCAGGTCTGAGACGTTAACCACTTCGGTGAAACCCACGAGCGCGGATATGGTCGGTTCGGAGTCAGTGTACTATGTCTGAGTTGGGTAAAAGTGCGTCATGGTATCTCAGTGGGCTTGCACTATTAAACCAGATAATTACAAGTAGCCACGCTCACGCTCACGCATACGCACACGCACACGCACACACGTCGCCACATCGTGCAATAATCTTGAACGTGACAAACCCCATATCCCCTACTTCACGTCGTTCGTCAAATAACCGAAGTCCAACACGTTAGCCAACTTTGTGATTTGTCAACGTTACCTAGGGCATCCCTTCACTATAACAACGCAGCGTAACGTTTTAGCTTCTCTGTGTACAATTTATGCTATACACCGCATTCCCTTAACCCTGTCTTAATACCGAGGTATTTTAGTTGCTAGGTAGATTGAAAAACTTTTATGTCAACAAAGGCTAATACACAAAATCTCCGTATCTTACGGCGGTACGGTATCAACTTTGAAATGAGACACCGTGGTAGTAATATAATCCACAAACACACCGTGCCTTATTTCGCTTCTTGATTAATGCATATATTAGGATCATCGTATTTCAGCATTTCGATCGCCTGTCTTATTATTGATGGCTTTTGACTTCAAATATATTGACGGGGCATGGATACATTGATCACTCCGCGGGGGGTGGGGGTGGGTCATCCCAGAGGGGGAGTAACTAAGAATTGTATTTTGTGTATATATGTAAACGTATACTCCCGAGGTTACTCGTGAGATCAGCATGGTTGTATGAGACTCGTCGCAACACGCACCTGCTCCCGATACTGGGACACAGTTAATGTGATACCACTAAATCTTGGATATCTTAGAGATCTATACAAGGCTTGAATCACCACCACGCAAGTGGTGAACTTTGTACTTTACCTATAATGTAAGCATATACACAGGTGGTAGGGAAGGTCACATTCGCACATTTACTAATGGACATGACTGGCTCTAGACTTGTTAAATATTATAAATTCATGACAATTTAAAAATCAAAGTGAAGAAAAAATTATTTCCTAAAATACTTACGCTGACGGTATCCATTAACGGAAAAAGAAAGTATACACTCAGTTTGGAATTGACCAAACAATTCCAAAAATCATCAAAATGTTACTAGATGAAAACAGTCGCTGAAACACTGCAAACGTAATGTCCATTATCGTCTATGACATCCCTATCAAAAACATCGCCATCGAATAACCAGTTCTTGTTTGTTCGATTTTTTGGCAATCATCAAACATGGGTGAATACTTTCTTTTGCCCGGCAGTTTATTAAAATAATTGGGGAAATACACCCACAAACAAATATTAGATACTGAAAAGCATACATTATAAATCTTATCTATCTCGTCCAATATTGACCATATGCGTTAAATGTCTAGTTTAAATAACTTGCATTTATTTTTATCACAATCAACCGTAGTAAAACGTGGGTGTATTGTACAAGGGAGATAACTGCTTGACTAAAAGAAAAATGTTTTAAATGACGTCACGGTAAAATCGATCAGTGTAAATCTATCGATCAGAGAGATAGTGTAGAGCCTGTCAGTAACGCAGTGAGATACCATGTAAGCAGACAGTACGTGCCGCCAACACACGGGGGTACGACGTGTCTACCTACTCGCAATGGCGGACACTATCTGTGTCATCGGAGTCGCGATGGCAGTCTTCTCGAACGGTACCAGGTCAGCACTTTCATGTATTTCAGCGCCGTGTGAGGTGGAGCGTGGCTGGTTCTTATCACAAATGTTTCAAAAACTTCATAAGTTTAGTATCAAATTTAACAACCGGCACCTCTGAAATATCACCCTTATTGAGACTTAACAGAATTGACGATACCAACACCGATTATTTTTACAATTATTTTTGTTACATATTTCTATGAAACGCATCAGTTAAACATGTCGCCAATTCCTATATTGCCCAAGTGTCACTTTAACTGTAACAAATGATACTTACATGACCCGTAATTCATTACTCTATCATATGTCTAAATGAGAAATGGTAAATTAGACATAGCCAGCTGTCTCTCTGTAATAGGTTGACTCAGGGTTAGGTGTTTATGTTTATTTAAGTGTCCCATGTTAAATATATCAAAATTGAAAACGTGTAAATGAGCACTTAATATAACATCCTGCCAATAACCGGCCTCTGGGGCACTATTATGGACATTTAAAGCTTAATACATATATTTGTACAAATGGTGAAATGGCACATGACCCATGAGACACTATAATGGTCATGAAAAATATAGTGGGTATACGTACCTGTAAAAATGGTGTATGTGTATTCTACAATCTATACTGTACACACACTTTCCTCTAGAACATCGTGTGCACACACACCATTTTCACTCACTCACTCACTCACCATGCGTAACAGCACTCATGTCTGAAATCCCCTTCCGGTCGAGAACGTCAAGCGTTCTGATCTCCCAGAAGGTGGTGACCTAAGACAAGCGGATTGCACTCGTGTTGTTTTTACAGGATGTAAATGTATTGTAACGTTCATTGTGCTTAGTTTAACTGTTATGACACATCAATTAGGATTGATCTATGGTGACTTCCTTTACCGAGTTCGGTAAACAAAGTAACAACGGTGATAACGAACACGGTTATAACGAAATGACGGATATAACGAACTTACTTTTTTGGTCCCGACAATTTTGCTGTAGTTATGCTGTATATATGCTTATAACGAACTACGGTTATAACGAACTAAAATAGTAGAGTTCGTTATAATCGTAGTTTACTGTATTTGGAAATATTCTAGCACTAGGGATCACGTTTTGTACCTGTATACATGTATGTTCTTACAAGTGGGAATCAAACCCAGGTAAAACCATCACATTAACCACAGGACTACCTCGCCGCCGTACTTCCTCGTATGTAGAGGTGAGGTGAGGTGAAATGGGGTTTAACGTCGCGTCCAAGATTATTGCACTTATATAGCGACGTGCATGTACGTGTGTGTGTGTTTGTGTGGCTGCTTGTACTAGATTTATAATGCTAGCTCACTGAGATACCATGCCGCAGTTTAACATGAATACCCCACTCAGACACAGTATACTGACTCCGAGCCGACCAGTCCTTGTTTTAGCCCCTCAATGCCGAGCGCCAGACAGGGTAACAACAAGTACCATCTTTTAACGTCTTTTGGTATGACGCGGCCGGGGATCGAGCCCCGGACCTTCCGCTCTCCGGGCAGACGCCCTACCACTAGACCACGGAGGCGGTCTCCCGTATGTAGAGACACTAAACCCAAAATATGTATGTTCTTTAAAAGCCTTCTTGTGTTAAGCAGTTTGTGTATCCACTCTCTGGAGAATAATAATGTCGCACCTCCTCCATGGCGCGCCATGTTGTGTCTGCTGATCACACTGTTTGCATGTAGTTCGTATACACATGGCTGTCTAGATACATCATATCAAGATTGGTACTGATGCCATGTTCTTCAGTATACACATTATGATAGTTCCGGCTGTAAACAATGACAGTCGAGATGATCCTACAGTCTGTGCTGAGTGGCACTGATTGGATGACACCTGTCTGTCTCCTCCTCCTGATAAACTTTACCAATTCTAAATCCCCAAGGACAATCACTCACACATTTCTGAACACGTTGTGACCTCTACAGCTGTCATTTACGAAAACACGACTAATTGTTGTCATCACCTACAAATCCCCACTATAGTGATACGCACGATTGTTGTTGTCCGGTCTAGCGTCCCTAAGAGGGTAATGGAAGAAGTGATCGCTCGGACTCAGCCCCTCCTCTCCTCCCCCATACCCTCGGGATACAATCACACCAATTGCCAATAGTTAGATCGGCGCCTTGCTTCTTAGTGTACATATATGTGATTGCCATTGACTTACTCTAATCACAGTTACCGCGGCTGCCAATTCGGCCGTTGATAAAAAGCTTTAATTTAGGCTTAAGTTTCTAATTGTCTTTCCGTGTTTTGCTAGTATGGGTAGGCCTTCTTTGAAGATTCAATGGTGTCCAATCGTGCGTTAGCGGGTCAGTGGTAGAGGTAGTAAGGCTGTGTCGGGCGTACGGTAAGGACGGATTACGCAGCGTCTTGTGCTAGAAAGGTGAAGTCCTTCACTCATATTTGTCTATTCCGAAACCATCACTAATCATGGATTGATCAAAAAGTAATTACAAGGGCATGAGTATTTGTGTTTTGTGTGTAATTTTTGTTTCTTTGAGGTTTGTTGCTGTTTTTGATCTGTTGGATGTGATGTCTTCTTGTTTTGTCTATGTTCGGTTGGGTTTTTAAGTTGTTGTTTGTGTGCGTTGTTTTGGAGGTTTATGAGTGTGTATTTTGTTTTAGGTTTTCGAGGTTTTTTTGTGTTGGAGGTTTCATGACAATTCAAAAGGCAGGTTTTGGTCATCTGATCTATTAACTTAAAACATGTATGTCAGGTAATATGGGAAAGAGTAGTTTTATAATTTTTATACCGTTTCATGTAATTATATTGCAAATACCCACATCGTGTTTCTACACGTCGATACGAACCAACATTGTACAAGCCAATTAGTAGGCGTTTGAAACTTTAAAATTGGGACGGGGATCTGCGATATATTGACGTTAATCTCATTCTTACATTAATCCAAATGTGTATCCTCGATCACGATAATCCGATAATCCTTCGTTTGGCACGTACAATCCTTAAAGCACCTGCAGTTCTGGGACAGCTAAGTGGCCAAGGTTTGACGCACAAAGCGAGGCACACAGTCAGCCAGTTCTGCCCGTGTACGAGAAAACCCATTTGTCAACAACACCTGTAACGTGAGATAATAGCCCCTAAACTTCAGAAAGAATGTCAGGCACTGTTAATCTCGGTCTAGCTTTCTCTGGACGGATACAGGCAAAGTAACAAGTAGGTTTTTGCATGTCGGTAAACTTAAGATTAGTTAATATTATTTACATTTCATCACGGTTGCGTAAAATATTTGAAAAATATGTCCCATTTGTTCCACAATGGTAAGTTACAATGGACATTCGTATTCCGCATTTTAGTGTTCAGATTTATTTGATTTAAACAGTATTTTTTTTCCATTAATGTTCAGATTTTACATTAAATAGCATTACAAAATGGAAAAAGGATAAGCAAACAGGCCAAAAAGGCCTATATTAATGCTTCTCCTAATATTGTACATTATACATGTAGATTGTAATGAAGTCTATAGAGCAGACAATGAGTAACACAACATGAAATAAAATGGAAAGCAAGATACCAAATGCATTTTATATTCTTAAGTTGACACATAACTTACGTAAAGCGGTTTGTTTCAATGATGTAATTGTGAACTGATTTTATAATGTATTCATTGTCAGGTTTATTTCATGAAGGACTTCGAACAGTCCTCAAGTACACTACTGAAAAATAGTTAAGGCCCACCCGATTCTTTCATATATCTATAGTTAACATTATGCCACACCAACATAACTATAGCAATATAAAATAATAAGGTGGTCCATAACTTGTTTTATTACCGCAAGAAATATGAATGCCGATATTAAAATCTCAAGTGAGGTTTGGTTCAGATGGAAGACGTTCTGATTTAATATTTTCAACGACCAAATAGGGACTTAGGAAAAGGATCTGTCCACGAAAGTTCAAAAGTCGTTCACTGATCCCATCAATATTGTTGCAGCTGCTTAGCCGTCCCTTCTAACTTTACAGACGAGAACAGCTTCTATGACCATACATTACTATAATCTGTCGGAGATGTAAGCTATACTGTGATCTAACTCCTTGTAATTTTATGTCCATGTGTGATTGTCATCCTGCGAGTGCTATGTTAACGTCGACAGTGTGTGGTCATCATGACAAATTTATTGCCCGAACCCGTCGGTCATGTGTGCTATTGTCTGTCCACAGGGATCACTAGCACACCACCACCATGCTGAGAACTTGCACCCCGGGGCCTGCTCCCCACCTTCGAGCCCCGTCCCCCACGGAGGGACTGCGACGCCAGATCGTTGATATGGTGAGGATCACAGACTATGGGCAGGGGCAACGCTCGGCCACCATCATATATGACTTGAGGCAGAGACAGGTTGTACAAGGGGACACAACTCGCGGTAAAACACCCGATATACGTCGAATCACTGCAAGAAACCGACCTGGAGATTTTGGGCATGACCTCGATACATCCAAATCATCCGGATCTTTCCCCCAGCCCTGTAAGACATCAACGCCCTGCATTCAAAGGCGTGAGACAAAACGTGTGACGGAGGTTAGAAACCTGTCCCCTAATCGCTTCAAGATCCCAAGCCCCCCGCGGACTTCCCAGGGTGTCCCTGAGACTACAAAGAGGCCCCGGACCGGTCAGGGTCGAGGGCGGAGGGTCGTAAGGACAAAGAGCATCCGGCTTCAGAATGACACTGCAGGTCCTCACTGTCAATCCTCGGATTCATCCAGTCCATCGGACGAGAAAACTACCAGCAAAACATCGGGGGAACCTTGCGAAGTTCGTGGCAACGCCATCAGTACGTCTCCAGCACGACCAAGAGTTATGTCCCCTGTGAAGCGGGCTGAGGTGCAGCGCCGCGCTACGCTGTTCTCGACCTCGCTTGAACTGTTCCGAAGGCGATTGAAGATGAACCAAAGCAAATTTTTCAGTTGTAATAAAGTTAACCCTGAGGAATATGTGATAAGGAAAGATGAGAGAAAACCATCGGCTAAACAGCGACTTAATGTCAACAATATTCAAAATTCAAACAAACCATCATCACCGGTCCGTGTCGCTCAAACGCAACTGGAGGATTCCGCTGACGACAGATTGGAGACGAAGCAGACAAGATGTTCCTACAGACTTCCCGAATTAACGGATGAAGAGAAACAGGTAAAGGCAATAAAACCCTCCGAAATGTATATATAGATTTACAGTATTTTTCAAACATTACTCTGAGGAAAATATCTCTACTCATTGTTAATTGATAAAGTGGCCGACTCGTCGCCCCAGGATTACCGCCATGGTTTATGCCTTTAGAGCGCCACACTCAATGAAGCTTTCAAAGAAATGTTTATTTGCCCTTTACAACCATTGCACTTCAATCCTGGCTTTTATTGCACATATTATACCCAAGGTGAAATTCGCCGACAAACCTGTTTTCCAGCAGCACAACTGATGTCAAACCGAACAAAAGGCTAATGTCACTTGACCTTAGGCAATTAGACGTAGAGGGGTGTAAATAGAGGAAACAATACCTTTCTCTCCCGGATATAATCCCCACAATAAACATTACCTTTGCTCCAACCTCCATTCAATCAGACCCTACCTCCACGGCCAATTAATCTCCGCATGAAGGACTCATTATGACACAAAACATAAGACCGCCAATGCCCTGTCCTGCCTGAAGTGGAGTTAATTAGACAGGTACCGGCACACCCGTGTGAGTTAGGATACAGGTACCCGGTGGGAGACAAGCAGGTGCCCATTGAGGGAGAGGTCTTAGGGAGGAGAAGCAGTGTCCAGTGAGGTTGGACAGGCAGTGGACGATGGCCAGCTTCCATCATCAGAGTTTTCCGTGGCAAGGGTTCGTGTGGGACATGGCCCACCCATTTTACCCCTACAGACCAGTGAGATACCCTCTTGTTAACCTCCTTTCCCACATCCATCTTCACAATTCATTTATTTCCCAGTTACAGTAAAGAGTTCTCGTGTATGTACGTTACTCAACTGTCGCTGCAACATTCTCAGAACTACGGCAGGCCTAAAAATTGATGAAATGACCAACAGTCAGATTATGCGATATTTTGACAGAATTTGCCTTTCTGTTGTTTCCGATGCCGTAGAGTTGTTAAGAAATTGTACCGTTACATTTGATAATGGTTGCAAATTTCCCATGTGTACCCGAAGTTGTCTATATATGATGCTCTCGTGTGTATTTCATACGAGACTAAACGCGATGTTTATTTTTGTCAATATATGGGATCCTTTTTGAATGGTTCACGTTTTACTATTTCGACCGGTTCGGCTTTCAGATATTGCGGTCATTCGCATAATAATTTTCTTATTTGTTTCATGTACAGTAGACTACGGTTATAACGAACACGCTTATAACGAACTAACGGATAAAACGAACTAACTTTTTAGTCCCGACTATGTGCTGTAGTTATGCTGTATATATGCTTATAACGAACTACGGTTATAACGAACTAAAATTAGTAGTCCCTTTGAGTTCGTTATAACCGTAGTTTACTGTGATTGATTCTTAGAAACTGTAGCACGTGGCACATTTAGAAAGTATGAGCTTGGTTTGTTGTCGGATTTCAACCTGTGTACATATACTATTACAAAAACAACAAGACAGATAAACTATAGTATAAACTATATACGAAACTTCCTAAACTTTGACTTAGTAGTATATATTGTTTGTACATAACCGATGCCAATCTCGCGAAGATGCAAAGAAAGCTATATTAACTGCATTGATATAATTTATATTTGGTTTATTTAGGTAATATTGTGACATACAACAACTTAATAGGGTATGCATTCTTTTGTTTTGGCTTGTTTTCTTTTTTACATTTATGTACATAGAAATTGCAATGAAGCTATTTTTCTCCCCAGGTGACGTTCGGCGACCTCCGCAGCCTCCCGCAAGTACAGACATACGTCCTGGAAGATGATGGCACAGACCAAGTCCGTCGACGCACATTTAAAGAACCTGCTCCGTTGACGTCTCACAACCTCGGCATTCACAACATGTTTATGGACCAGCAACGTCGGCGGCCTCGCGTTGAGGCTAATGGCGTCATTTACGACGCCCGGACGTGGCGCTGGGTGGAAGAATCGAATGCACAAGGCAGGGTCCAAAGAATGGTTCGATTCAACATCACGTCCAATCCCGTCACAGAAACTGTGCCTATGTCAGACTCGAGTAGAGTGGTGTCCGACGGGTCACGTGATTAGTGTCACACCGTCCTTATAAACGTAATAGGGACTAGTTCCCTGGTGCCTGTGATAATGGTGGACCTTGTGATATTTCATTCATCGGAGTATCCAAATGGATTATCGACGTTATATTCGGATACCTATCTGTTTGACATGTCTGTATACAAGCGATCCCGTGATTTAGTGGTGATGGATATGGGTCATTAACCCTGGTTTTGCCTTGATGAATATACTTGATGAATACTTTGTAAAACGCCGTGTATATAGTTACAAACTACGTTCAAACTAACCACAATATTTCAAATGTCTTGGCATAGAAAATAAGATTTGTCTACCGCCCTAAATGTCGTTTATGTTCATCCGAAAAACTCTTCTTTGTCCGTCCGGCACTCCATCGCTCGCCTTTTCGTTTTTAGGGTCTTGATGGCTACAAGTCCGTCGTTGAGACACCCTGCTCCATAGTTCGCAAATATTTCCGACTGTAACGGAAGTTGTAATGTTGAATATTTTCGGTAAGGCCCCCATGTGTTTGTGGACCTTGGTGAATTTTACCCCTCATTTTCGGTGGCGGGTAAAGACACATTTGGTTCGCTGGAGCATCGACCGTGGAAAAGAGCTAACTCTAAGTGTCCCCAACATTGCCAAAATAGTTTCATCAGAATTGGATGACTTTAATCTTTGTGACGTTTTTGGTCCCAACGCGTATCAAATATAATGTTTCGATGTACACTATATATAGTGAACCGTAAGCTCGAATACGTTTTCGTCATGATGCATGAAGTTATTTATTTCGTAATATTAGAAGATAGATTCGTTTTGATTTTCTTCACCGTCCACACATTTCATGACTCCATGAACCGATTTGACGCGAGATCTGTAGTAGGGGCAGGTAACTCAACACGGTTTTTTTCACGTTCCCCTTGACATATGTCAGTCGGCCTACATCTCGGAACGGTATATACGCTGCCAAGAATACTTGTTTATGTGAACAAGTGCCAATTTTCGGTATTGCATTGGCGTTGAATGGACATTGGTTTACGATCTTTCTATGAAACTCCACGTCCTTCAAATTGACTGAATAGATTATTGCAGACTCGCGTAAAGTACAACAGGTGTTTCCTACACTTCCTGGATGCTTCGAGTGAAGATACTTTCCTGATTGATGAACACCTGCTGGAGGGAGAAGCTTTTGGATCAGTTCACATTTGCATGGTCGTTTCCTTAGCATGTTCAGACATGTTCACACCTGCTGGAGGGGGAAGCTTTTGGATCAGTTAACATTTGCATGGTCGTTTCCTTAGCATGTTCAGACATGTTCACACCTGCTGGAGGGGGAAGCTTTTGGATCAGTTCACATTTGCATGGTCGTTTCCTTAGCATGTTCAGACATGTTCACACCTGCTGGAGGGAGAAGCTTTTGGATCAGTTCACATTTGCATGGTCGTTTCCTTAGCATGTTCAGACATGTTCACACCTGCTGGAGGGGGAAGCTTTTGGATCAGTTAACATTTGCATGGTCGTTTCCTTAGCATGTTCAGACATGTTCACACCTGCTGGAGGGGGAAGCTTTTGGATCAGTTAACATTTGCATGGTCGTTTCCTTAGCATGTTCAAACATGTTCACACCTGCTGGAGGGGGAAGCCTTTGGATCAGTTAACATTTGCATGGTCGTTTCCTTAGCATTTTACTATTTCAGTTGTTTCGTGCTTTCATGCATTGGTTGCTGACTGATATTTCGCTGACCCCATACCATCAGATCATATCATCAGTTAACGTATCAGTTTCGGTTAACTAGTATTTCACGGAATATTTCGCTGTCACTCTATACAATAAGTTCACATTATCAGTTTCGGTTAACTGTTATTCAGCTGAATATTATTTTGTATTAAAAAAAACCATCGGTTCAGATCAGCAGTCCACATCAGTTTTCGTCTGACTGATATTTTGCTGAATATTTCATGACACGATATGTCATCGCTTCATATTCTCAGTTATTCCTAGTTTCGATTAACTGATATTTCGCAGAATATTTCATGAAACGATATGCTACCAGTTAACATTCTCAGTTAACCCTATTTTCGATTAACTGATATTTCGCTGAACATTTCATGACACGATATACCATCAGTTTATATTCTCAGTTAACCCTATTTTTTGATTAACTGATATTTCGCTGAATATTTCATGAAACGATATGCCATCAGTTCGTATTCTCAGTTATTCCTAGTTTCGATAAAGGGATGTTCGCAGAATATTTCATGGCACGATATACCATCAGGTCGTATTCTCAGTTATTCCTTGTTTCGATCAACTGATATTTCGCGGAATATTTCATGACACGATATACCATCAGTTAATATTCTCAGTTAACCCTAGTTTCGATTAACTGATCTTTCGCTGAATATTTTATGACACAATATGCCGTCAGTTAATATTCTCAGTTAGCACTAGTTTCGATTAACTGATATTTCGCTGAATATTTCATGACACGATATGCCATCAGTTAATATTCTCAGTTAGCACTAGTTTCGATTAACTGATATTTCGCTGAATATTTCATGACACGATATGCCATCAGTTAATATTCTCAGTTAGCCCTAGTTTCGATTAACTGATATTTCGCAGAATATTTCATGACACGATATACCATCAGGTCGTATTCTCAGTTATTCCTAGTTTCGATAAAGTGATGTTTCGCAGAATATTTCATGGCACGATATACCATCAGGTCGTATTCTCAGTTATTCCTTGTTTCGATTAACTGAAGTTTGGCAGAATATTTCATGGCACGATATACCATCAGTTCATATTATCAGTTAACCCCAGTTAATTTCGGTGACACGATGTCTCGTATCGACGTCGGTTAACCGATATTGCGCAGAATACTAGTACAGTTTGTTAGTCTTTATGCCCTCGTAACGCATCCGTTCACATTATCAGTTAACCTGGTTAAATGATAATTCGTTCCGTTTCGAACTTTTTCGCTGAACACACGTACTGATGGATTTATCCCACATTCTGAGATACCATGCTTGGTCACATTCCTTTTGGTTGAACATGTGATTGAGAAACAAGACCTACTCTTCCGAAAGCAGTAGTCGATTTCGAGATGCGGAGACCCAGAATTTTAATGTGATGGTGGACATTTAGTTGAATTTTCAAGAATTTTCCTGAGATACCCTCTCGGGGTTTCGAATTTGACATTCTACCTGCGCTCATGGCGCACGTCATTGCTGCTGTAGATACCCAAAGAAACTACAGGTGCCAAGTTTTTCGCCCTCTTTGATTTTTTCGTCCGGCACTGACAGAAAAGGGGAAATAACTCAACGACTTCCAGACTGAGTAGTCGAACGGCCAATTATTTCGCCTTTACGAATCTGACGCGACCACAAGGGTAGTATCAAGACACAGCGAACGTCCGGTTCTTGCACAATATTATTTTCCCAACATGTTTTGGGGAAAATAGTAAATTAGTTTCACAAGGACTTACACCCCCTTTTCAGTTACTTGCAAGTTCCCCCTGGACACGTGGACAAAGTTTCCCATGTTGTGGCGGGATAGACATGTCGTGTTTCTATGCCAAGACAGACATTGTATTATGTACATTACTCTACACGAATTACGTATTAATCTAAATACTAGTACTCTAACAATTCGAATGTGATAATGTGTAATTGTGATACCCTTCAACCTCCTGAAAATGTAACCTACGAAGAAATTGGAAAGCCATTCCCTTTAAAACATTTTTGGTTACTTAATTTCCTTCCCAGCCATACAATCTCCGAACCCGGAAGGAAGGTGCATATGCCTGCATATGAAGGACCAAGCAATACATACATGTACATAAGTATCACCGTAAATATGCGGATCTAAGTGCCATGTTTAATGTAATGCCAATGCGTTGCGTGTATATATATGTGTGTCTCAGTCATGTACCTCGTGTGATGTGATTGGAAGTGTCAATGTACATCTTTTTCAAAATATACTCAAATTAGCTGGGAATCTATACGTGCACGTGTTTTGAGTGTACCAAGAAAACGAGCTTCACTTTCATTTTCATTGTGATTGTTTTATGTACATACCAAGGCGAACATTGACATTTCTTATTGTTTCAAAATATATGTGTGACAATAAACAGTAAACAATTGCACATCGTCGTTATCGTTCGCTCTCGCTGGGTAGCGTTTGTTATTTTATGTTCGCTTCGTTGAATTTAGGCTCTTATCGGCTCAATCTCATTAAAATCAGACCTTATAGTTCTCGCCACCGCGAAACAAAGATCTGAGGACATCCGATTACGGGACAAGTCAGACCGACCTTCAGCGAACTTTGACCGACCAATGGAAAGACTGACAAGAAGTCGACAATAGCCAATCAGAAGGCAGCTTTCTCGTGCTTTACAACACTTATTTCAAATTGGCGACTACGCTTCGAAACATATTTTGACAAATTCTGGATTAAAAACCGATTTGAAACCTAAACAATGGCTAATAGATGGTCTAGATGGTCTAGATTGTATGGATTCAGTCGTTAAGACCGTAACTATCGTTCGGAATACCCCGTATTAAAGTTTTCGAGGTTGCGTGATTAGAAATCACATTCCGACTGTCAATTTCATGATCTGAGAAGCGACGCTTTGATTGGACTGATGAAAGGTCGTTCTGACGTTCAGATCTTTGCTTAGCGGTAGCGAGAACTAAGAGAATTTGTGTAAAGTACAAATTGGGTTTTATTAATGTAGTTATCTTTGGAAAGCCCAATAAAAGAAACAGTGTCTTTAAATGGTCAGCACAAGGAAAACCCAGGCAAGAAAACTGGACCTGTCAGGCAGAACTTGATATATACCCACCATTTGTGCCAATAAAAGAAATAATTGTCCTATATATAGTCCAATATAACACAACAAATGTCATTCTTAAACATGCTTTTGCAGCAAATATCAATATTTCTGGTCAAAATGTTGGTTGGGTTAAATAAAACAAACTGTTTAAATAGTAAACACAAGAAAAATGTAATGAATCCACTGGAAATAAACTTAAGTTCAAATGTAAAAATTTCACGCAATTATTAAGGGATTCCTATTCATCTAACAGCAAGTTAAGGACACACAGTTTGGTCAATACATCTATAAATATTTATATTTGTCTTACATATTGTAAAAACAAAGGTCATGGGTCACTTTTCTCAAAACTTCGTTCAAGTACTGGTAATCACAAACTGAAAATTGAAAAATTGGTAGATATACAAAAACACCAACCCCACTGGAACAACGTCTCTGTGAAACATGTGATGTCTCAGAAGATGAGCAACATTACGCACTTTCTTGTATAAAATACAACCAAGAAAGAGAATCACAAATAAGCCCCAATCATGATAAAGAATTTGGTACACTCTGTTACAAGGAACAGTTCTTCATACTTTCACCAACAGTTATCCTGAAACAATTTCCATGATCTGTTAGCATATCAACAATTACAAACAAATTCCTTGTATGTGCAACATTACCACAGTTTTGCTCAATTCTCATAGTGTTTCCATATCATTATAATACACTTGTTTTGAAAAAATTGTTATAATGTACCCCCTTTGTATGTTGAATGTACCTGTGTTTTTTAATTGTCGTTTATTGTGCATGTATTTTGTAGTTTGTGATAGTGTAATATTGCTACCTTATGGAATGTTTCCAAAATATATATCTCATCTAAAACATCTTTGTTGTATGATAGTTTATTACAGTTGCGTACGGGGGCACGGTTGGCCCAGTCGCCGAAGGCGCTGCAATTCGCTATGCATATTCGTGTCCCTTGGGCACGCCAGAAACTTATGACAGTGTGTTTGAATCCCGGTTCGCCCCGATTTTGTTGTCAGCCCCAAACCCGTGCTCGTTGGTTTCACCAAAGTGGTGAACGTCTAAGACCTGCATCACTTCGGGGTTTCCTCCCACATCAAGCTGACACGGAATACTATTCAACGGCGTTAAACCCAACTCCCTCACTCACTCTTGAGGTTCCGTTTGGTTAACTGGGTTTGTGTTGTGATTGCTTCCAGTTTAGATTTGAAATATGTTTAGAAGAATGTTACCATGTTCAACCCAAACATCGTGAAGATATCATGCAACCGTATTATCTGTTAGGAAAATAATTGCAAACTACAGACCAACCTGTTGATTTCCTATGTATCCAGAAGCAAAGAGCATATACGGGTGTATAATCTCTGCCGGGTTAAAAAGGAAATGTCAAAGCAATAAACCACGTAGAACCGTAAACCGCCGCATGAAACGGCATGAATCATACATTACATACAGTGAACTATTTGAAACAATACTGTACTCAACTATGCCCAGCAAGGGTCCTAAATGTGATAATGAAGACAACTAATTACAAATTTCTCATATCAAACCCGTTGTTTTACATGTTGTTTATTGAACAAAGTCATACTTTATAGAAGCCTGGTATTTAATCGTGTTGAACAATATGTTGCAACAGCAATGGTGAAGTTGAAAGATTGAGTGCGCGTGACAGGCTTGATCTAAATTCCTCCCTTGAACCTTTCTCGATGGCTGCCTGAATAACATACGATATATTGCAAAGGTAGTGCGCAATGGAGCTGTTCGGGTAAGGGAGATGATCACTCACGTTCAGGGAAACAGCTTGAATAAGATACGATGTACAGCATTGCAAGGTCAGTGCGTGATAAAGCTCTATACTACGCCTATAGCTAAAGGAGATAATCGCTCAATGCGCAATAGTTTATTCTTACAAAATATAGACCAGTTAACTTTAGCGAAATGAGATATATATTTCCCCTAAACAATTTATAGCTCTTTTAAAAACAAAATGAACAAATTTCATGGGTTATCTGCATAACGAAACGTGAAAAAAAGTCTCAGAATAGCAAGACGATTTTGAAGTATCTCTTATCGCCGGAAAAGAATAGCATCAACATTCCACGCACATGATTTGTAAGTTTCGTTTCGGTAAATGCGTGGCTTGAAATTTCAAATAAACCAACATGTCGACATACATGCTACAAAATTAACCGTTCCCGTATACTTCCCCGCCTTCAGGGCGGGGAATAATAAAACGGCCCTATTACGCGCTTGACGTTCACTTCCGGAGAGGTTTTGCAAAATGAACGAGACGAGAACGAAACAGCGGCATTATCGCACTGTCTGCACAAATTATAGAGGGAAGGGGGAAGACGGACGGGTGGTGACATTCCAGCGAATGTATCACTAAAGAAATGATCATTTCCGACTGTCTATTACCATCTATTTTCGGGGGAAAACGTTCAACACGTATCAGGTAAAGTCTACACAAACACTATATTACTGAGGCTTAACGTTCATGCTATTTAATGATGCATTGATACCCCTAAAAGACCAAATACCTTTCATGCTTTTTAATGACGCATTGATAACCCCTAAAAGACCAAATACTTTTCAAAATGATAATCATTACGATATTGTTAAACAATCAACCAGAATTAGAGAATAATATCGGAATTATTCACATATTTTTTAGAAACTTCAAAATTTAGAAAATGTATTAATCGGAGTATGTTTTTTTGTGTAGAGAAAATACATAATTGCAATGAACATGAGTTATCTGAAATCAGATCTATTACTAATGTTAATCCTGAGAATGGACATCAATGATCTGATTGCAATTGTTGTAATTATAGTTATTATTTTATTTTTATCTTATAAATTTCCATTTTGATTCCAACTCAGACGAGAGTACCATACAAAGGGAGACCCAAGCACCATTAGCTGAGCAATCCAGGGACAGTGACAATGGGGGTGAGAATTCTGTCCTCAGGATCAAGAGTGGAAACTTCAGTTGTCATACATGGCTATTGTGGACAAATTGCAGATCATGCCTCAAGTCATCTTGTAAACAAGAGTGAACAGGCTGACTTTCATCCTTCAGGCATTGATGCATCCACTCAGACAGATATATTTTATAATTTATGTGTGACCGTGTCAACTTAAACATTGAATGATAATATATCAAATGTTATATCAAAACCAAAAATGATAGATGTGGAAATTCAGTGTTGTAAGCGTGACGAATAATGTAAACGAGTCTGGTTCTTGTAACTGGTCAAACCTATTAAGGCACACTGTGGTTCAATGTCATTGATGTGTTGGTGTAAATAAAAGCCACAAAACCCTTTCTATATTCATAAGAAATCGATTGTACGATTCCGACTATATCATGAGCATGCGCAGTGGTAGAAACTAACATTTTTAGTCTGCTAGTTGTTATAATGATAACATATAGCAAAACCCTTAAAAATGGCAAATTTCTACTTGTCCCAATGATACTTTAACTGTTGAGCAGTTTGGCAAGGACTACAGGACTAGGGCCGATTTCTAACGCTGATGTGTTTATGAATGAGTTTCAAGTGACGAGACCAGGTGTTTGAGAAAAGGCGAGAGTGTCCTCACATCTTATCTTGAATAAATTCCTTTTACTGTTCATTGTAATTTTGTTGTGTTCAGGTGTCAGTGGTGAGAGTGCTTGCATCGCTGTTAGACTGATAAGAATGGGTGAGAACGGAAAAAACATAATAAAAATTAATCATACCTGTTGTTTCAGTTGAACTAAATAAATCTTTGGTATTTTTTGCAAAATATTTCTACAGTAAAACAGAATATAAAAAGTAATAAAAGGAACAAGGTTTTTAATGATGCTCATGATGAGTGAGTAGAGTTAGGTTAACTGCTCATTTTCACTGATTTTCAGCAGTATTTCAGTTATGTCAAGGAAGCGATTTATAGCAGGAAGCACCTGGTACTATGTGAAACCTGAGAGTTCTCTATGATACTGACGAACAGAGGTGGTTTTCAGCATTGCTACGTCCTCGGTCACCGATGGGGACCTGTTCTTTTCTGTTGTTAAGAAGCCGAGCATCCTGGGATCTTGTTACACAGAGATAAAAACTAAACAGTTTTAGTCCACTAGTCCTTATAATGTTAACATATAGCGAAACCCAAAATGGGCACATTTCTATAAGTCCTAATGATATCTTAACTACTGGGCAGTTTTGCAAGGACTATAGGACTAGTGCTAATTTCTAAACTGTTGAATGTGCATGCCTGCTTGTACTAGCTTGGACTTTTAATATTAATAATAATGTTAGTTC